TTCAGAAGTAGCATGGGCTGTGAAAATAGATTTGGATTTGAATTCTGGTTCAGCCTGTTGGCTATGTGATCCGGGGTGAATTTTTCACCTCTCAGTACCTGTTTTCTCCCTGTAAGATGCTGATGACACTAGAGTCAAGATGATACCCACCTTATAAGATAAAGATTTTATGAGTCAACTACCTAATAAGATGTTTGACACACAAGAAGTACTTGATTTCCTTTCCTTTTTATGTTGTTTTTGTGTATTGTTAAGTGCCATCGAGTTGATCCCAATTCATAGTGACTTTGTAGAGGGTTTCCAAGAAGTGGCTGGTAGGTTTGAACCACCTACCTTGTGGTTAGCAGTCCAGTGCTTATCCTACAGCACCATACTCACAGAGTTTATACTTCTGCAATAGTTACATATTTGTATAGTTTATATTCTCTTTAAACACTTTCATGTTACACAGTGATTCGTAACCCCAACAGTAGGTAATGGGGGTAGTAGCTGCTATATTATTCAAAAGCACACACCCCTTACTGAGAATCCCTGGCCTATATGATGATACTCCCAGGTTTCTCTCACTAGCTTATTTTTGTGATTATCCTTGACTCTTAAACAGCTTTGTTTCAATGAATTATGGGTTTACCTCTGTGGAAGGGTAATGCATTAAGCTGATGGGAAAGGTTGTTGTTGTGTGCCATGGAGTCGGTTCCAACTCATAGCAACCCTGTACAGGGATTCCGAGGCTGTAAATCTTTACAGAAGCAGAAAGCCTTATCTTTCTCCTGCAGAACAGCTGGTAGTTTCGAACTGCTGACCCTGAGGTTAGCAGCCTGATTCGTAACCACTATGCTACCAGATGGGAAAGGTAGCCAACCAGTAAACTACCCTTTTATGTTTAACTAGATGTTGTTATTGTTAAGTGCCACCAAGTCAGTTCCTGCTCAAAGTGTCCCTGCATAGGATTTCCAAGGAGAAGCTGGTGGGTTTGAACTGCCGACCTTGTGGTTCCCAGTCCAGTGCTGATTCTACAACACCACACCAGGAGTTGTGGGGCCCCTTTTTTGAGGGAGGAGGGCAGGTTTGATTGAAAGAATGGTGGAAAGACCTCTGAGGGCTTAGAGGGAAGTCATTTGGGCCATATGGGAAATGGGGATTGTCAACATTTTGTGTCGACTTGGCTAGGCTAGAATTCTCAGTTTAGTTAAAACATGTATGATGAGATCTAAGATGATGCAGTCACCCCCATTATGTGATGCGATGTGATCAGCTCTAATCTGTTGTAATTATCATTTGTGTCGTAAATCCTCACTTTGATCATGTTAATGAGGTCAGGTGCAATATACAGGGTTGGGCTGTATCTTCAGTTAATCTCTTCTGAGAAATAAAAAGAGAAAGAAGTTAGTGCAGAGAGAGGAACACACTGACACCATGAAAGAAGAGGTAGGAGTGGAATGTGTCCTTTGTACTTGGGTTCCTGTACTGTGATGCTCTTAGATCCAGAGGAAGACTGATGCTGAGATGCAGGGAGAACGCTAAGAAATGCTGGGCCTACAGATGCTGAAGGGAGACAAGGACCTTTCCCCACAGTCAGTACTCTGAATTTGGACTGCTAGCTTCCTAGACTGTGAGAGAATTTATTTCTGTTTATTAAAACCATCCACTTGTGGTACTTCTGTTAATAGCAGCACTAGGTAATAGGACAGGAAGGCAATGAAACTGAAGATGAATGTCATTTTTCTCATAGCGTCTCATTTAGCACACTGCAACTTGGCTTTCACTGGAGCATCTGATACCCCAGATTCTCAGCCCACCACTTGAGTCATCTATGGCAACTTGAACCATCTCATTATTGTTACTGTTGTTAAGTGTCTTTGAGTCGGCTCTAACTTTCCAACTCATAGCAACCCTGTATAGGGTTTCCAAGGAGCAGCTGGTGAGTTTGAATCTCCTACACTGTGGTTCAAATGACCTCGTGGTCCAGTGTATCCTACAGCATCACACCAGCACTTCAAACCATCTCATAAAAACAAAAACAAAACCCACTGCCATGGAATTGATTCTGACTTGTATCAACCCTACACAGGATTTCTGAGACTGGAAATTTTGATAGGAACAGACAGTTTCATTCTTCCCCTGCAGAGCAGCTGATGGGTTTGAACTGCTGACCTTAGCAGCCCAGTGCTTATCCTACAGTGACACCAGGACTCCTTATTAAGTACCATAAGATCCTGGAATTTTATCTGTCAAAACCTAAATAGTTCTTTCTGTAATGATGTACTAATAAGTACAGACAGTTTGGCAACTGCAAATTTTGAAGACAAAAGAAAGAAAATGGTCATTGGCTAGATTAATTGAACATTTCTTTTGGCTAATTCTAAGGAAAGGCTATAGGACCGAGGTGTGCATCAAGTTCTTATTTAAAGTAATGTTTTTAGAGTTTTGAGTAAGAGATCATATAACTGAAAATGTTAAGCACACTTCGTGGAGTCTTAGTATAGTATTGTAGAACTCAAATGTATTAATCCTTGTGAACTATTTTAGCCTTTGGTGTCTCGGCTGAAGCTTCTCTCAATGTTTATAATATATATCATATTGTTTTATTCCTATGCCTTGCACTTGAACTAAGATGACACATGTGTTGTCAATGCATCTGCTGTGTGCTCATGGACAAGGCCAAAGAACTAGCCTGGGGTGTAAGTGTCTATGCTTTCACAATGTGGTTCCGCATTGGTCTCTTTGTGTAGAGGGCTTAGTGGGACCAAGCTGAATGCAGGAGGCACAGTTGTGAGAGCCCCCTGGGAATTTGGCTTTGGTACTTACATTTTATATAGATTTTATTTCTTCACTACCAGTGTAACCTTTAGCAAGTTTAATAAGCTAAGAATACCCAGTCACCTACCCTTAGCCTGGATCTATGGGTCTTCATCTAAAAAATAAAAGACTAGTAAAGATTTTAATATTCTTCCTGCGCTAAGACTGGAGAATTCTTCAGTTAAAAACAAAACAACAACAAAAAAAACACCTCAGATTTTTGAACAGTCAAGTGATCTGTTTGTCCACCTATTTTCATTCTTCCCCATCTATCTACTTCAAGCCTGCTGCCACTAGTGCGATTTTTCTGGATGGAGACATGCCAGACTGGTTAAGCTTAGGGGAGTTTTCTTAAGAAGCTATACTTAGCGCCACCTGATCCATACTCACAGGCTTCCAACATTCATTTATCCATTAACTCAATAAACATTTACTGAGGGTCTGATATGTGCCAGGTACTAATCCTTGGAACTTGATTGATGACTTTTTTTATCCATCTCCCCTTTTAGTGACTTTGATAAACCAGACAGACACCAATGTAGGAAATGTACATTTAATCATTCTCGTGCATTGTCAGTGCTCTAAAATCAAGGTTTTTTTTTTTTGTTTTTGTTTTTTTTTAAATAATAAAATGTAATACGTTCACTCTGGATCCAAAGTGTCAGGGAGGTGGTAGTCAACATATGAACACAGTGGGAGAAGATGCTGGTTAAAAATAAAACAACAAGCAAAAAACATTGTTTTCTATTAGAGCTTCATCCATCAGGGCTTCGTTTAAAAGGGTCATTTCTCTGCTTTCAGAAGTCTCCGTGAGTTTCAAGGAAGGTACCTCTTTGTTACTTTTCTTTAAATTTTGGTTAGACAGGATCCTGAGATATAAAGTCAAAATGAGGAAATGAGATGGAAGTATGGGCAGCTCTCTCATAAAACATAGTTTGTAGGATAGAATGAAGGGAAAGAAATTTAGCTCAAACAGATGAAGATAATCCTACCAGGAATTTTCCACAAGCATTGTCAAAACATGTTCACTGCAAGACATTCTCCTGGTTGTCCAGCGTCAGAATTCTGGCTCTTTGTGTTGAGGCAGCCACCAAAGAGATGAAGATTAATGCCCATTGTAAGAAAAGTAAGCAGATTGGTTTGCTTCCCTCTTTTCTAAAACATCTCTGTTCAAAATCAGTGTCTGAGAAACTTGACACGATTGATATTGTGGCCTGGATAATTCTTGGTTGTGAAGGCATGTCCTATGCAGTGTCCCTGGTTTTTCCCACTAGATGCCAAAAGCACCCATCTTCCCAGTTATGACAACCAAACAGTTGTTTCCAGACATTGCCAGAACTCCGTTGGGAGTGAAATCACCCCTAGTTGAGTCCCTCTGCTCTAGATGCTGTTGGAAGTTGAGGTCATAGCTGCCTATACTGGATAGCAAGTAGAACCCTGTAAAAACTTGTGGTGATATAACACCATAGACAGTAGAGGTGACCATTCAAAGATGATTATCATCTGAGAAATTAAATGACATTTTAAAAAGATGGTGATCAGGTTATTTAGAAAATCATTGCCACCCAATTATGAGTAATCACCTAACTGACCCTTGACAAAAACTCAGCCACGTTTGAGTTGTGAAATGCAGTCCCCTGACTCTGAGTTGTAAAGTGGAAGGTGACTAGTAGCAGTTTAGTTTACATGTATATATTGCAGTGGAGTCCTGGTCTGGTGCTATAGGATACGCTCTTGACCTTAAGGTTGGTTTGAACCATAAAGTTGGCAGTTCAAACTCACCAGCTGCTCTTCAGAAACCCTATACAGGGTGGCTATGAGTTGGAACTGATTCGATAGCACCTAACAACAACAATATATATTAGAATGGAAACTTTCTAGGAACTTCCTCAGAGCAACATTGTTGTTGTTAAGTGCCATTGAGTCAGTTCTGATCCATAGCAACCCTACCTAGGGTTTCTAAGAAGCAGCTAGTGGGTTTGAACCACCAACCATGGGGTTAGCAGTCCAGTGCTGATCCTACAGTGCCACAGCAGGATTCTGAGTAACATCACAGCATATATAACTAAGGATTCAGAGAAAAGGAAGATTGTTTCCAATTCTCTCATTCCCCAGGACTTGATGGTTAAAGGGATGCCCCTGAAATAATGGAGATACATTTGTTTCCACATGCATTTTACATAGAGATCTTAACACACTTTTCTAGTTCATATGAATTATTTTCCCAAATTATTATGCCTTTGAAGATAAATTTATCTTATTCATATTGGAGTCTTCTGTGGGTTGCTTTGAGGCTTCTTTTTGCATCTTGATCTAGTTCGTTTACTCCGGACTGCTAGAATTCATTTCTCCCAAGAAATACAAAACTAGGGTATGATGGGGTGCAATAATTCTGAAGATTTCTGGGATTCTGAAAAATAGCAGCAATAAGATACCATTATATCCATTCAGCAAGCATTTATTGAAAATTGAAGAAATCTCTCTGCCACTTTGTGAGTGTTGCTATTGCTCAGAAATGAGATTTATTTTTCTGTATTTTGATTCTGATCTATCAAGGCCACATGGTCCCATGGGTTGGTGGAAAAAGGAGATGCTTGAATGTCTCCCGAATGGAGTGACAGTCTTAGGACCAGTCCTTAGAGAGCAAGCAGGACTAGATGGAGAACTGAGTTCTTGGAACACGTGAGAAGAAACACTTCTTTGTGCTACACTTTATGGCTCTGGAAGTGCAGAGGTCTAGATGGTCTGAAGGGTGCTCCTGGATAGGAGTAGACATATGGCTTTGCTTCAGTTTGCAATCAGAGAGTGTGTATGACTGAAAACATCATAATCAGCTATGAGGTATGGCTCAAGTAATAAGCTTTTCATTTACTTTCCAAAAATCCATTAGATTTAAGGTTGTTCCTACATGATTTCTAGTTAGAAGGAACTAGAGCTGAAGCTAACTTGGTAACAGTCTATATCCTTTGGTCACCATATGTAACAATGGTCACCAAGCTGTATTTTATAGGTCATAGTATTTAGTTGCAAGTTATTAAACATTCATTTACAATGTTGTGGGGAATTAAGGAAAGAAGGGGTTTATGGTAAGATCACTAAGGGATAGTTTTTATTCAGGGAAATCTGAGGATTTCCATAGAAGACTGAGTGATGAAAATGGGTAGGTTTCCTTACAAAGAACCTACTTAGTGCTATAGTAAGAGTTTGGAGAATGGGAGAAAGAATGAAAACAAGTAGACAAACAATGCCTTTCCTGCTCTTAACAATCTAGGAAGAGAATATATGTGACTTAGAGAGTACAAGATATAAATTATATATACATGCCAAGGGGCTCTGAACTAATAGGGCCACCAGGAAAGGGGGATATGAACTAGGAAGCACTTGCTTCCTAGTAGTGGATGTGAACTGCTATAGAGAAGAGGAAAGTAACAGACTGAGGCTGAGAGGGATGGAGCAAGGCCCGAGAGTAGTGAGGAGTGGGGAGGATGGGGAGTGGGGGTGGGTGGGCAGGAAATCTCCAGGAGAAAAACTGTTAAAGGGCCACCACTCCACCACCGAGGACTTTTAACTTGGATACAATAGTGCCCAGAGAGCCTTTTTAGGTTCCAGAGCAAACGTGTGCTTTAATTAAAATAGTATTTGAGTAATTTTATTCTGGCACCTTATTTCCTATCAGATGACACAGGCAGAGAAAGGAGCCCAGTAAAAGGTTCTAAAGAGGTCTGAGTGTGAGATGATGAAGGCTGGGTTAGGATTGATCTGAGCAAGAACACAGGGGAACTGCTATGGGGTTTGGTAACAAATTGACATGAAGGTCAAAGGGGAGATGAAAAGAGCTCAGAGGTTGTGAGTCTGGAAGCTTGGTGGCCATGGTATTAAGTATTGACTGAAACTCGGTGAGCTCAGTTTTACACCAATTTTCTGTGCAGAAGAATTTTCAAGAGGAAGTGTCTTACTAATAATTGGAGACAGAGGACTGAAGGGAAAATGAGACGTCTCAGCAGGAGGTCTAGTGTGTTAGTCATTTGCCAAAGTTCCTGTCAACAGGGGCCTTGTAAGGGTGGGTCACTTATGTAAGTGATTATGTGTATGTCACAATGGTTCCTAAATTAACAGTGAAATCCAGAGTGACTAGTTAGGGCTACATGTCTCTTTTGCTTAAATAAGATATTTTTGTCTTCAATGATGACTCAGTAAATGAAAGGTGCTGGAATTTACAAAAATATGTGAGTTGTTTTTCCTGTAAGTTTGTCAATGAAACCAGTGCCCTTTGTTAAGCTAATAAATGATTACCCTTTACAATACCAGTGAAAATCGTGCACAATGTCCTGGCATTATGAAATGTTTCTCTCTGAGGCTGATGCTGGAGGCTGCTTGACTCTTGTTAGGAACACTAGCACACACAGAACCTGTCTCCCACACCATCTGTGACTCATCTCACCTATTGTACCAGTGACTTTGTACGTTTCTGTATGGCCATGTTATTTCAGCATCAGGTAAGGAGAGAGAGGCAGGAGGACCCAGACGATGGCACACAGAGAAGAGACGCCTAGGGAAGCCTTTGAATTCAGCAGCTGTAAGTGACTCCGCCTTTTGATCTCAGAGTCTGCAAAAGGAGAGAAAAGAGGTTCAGGCTCCTAGAGGAGGAGCTGAATGTCTTCTTCAAATGGCTGGTTAGCAGAGAAAAAGTACCTGAAAAACAGAACAAGTTGTTCCTAATTACAGGCAGTTTTGTACCCTATTCACCACATTCTTATAACTGGATTAAAAGCAACATTTTCCCTGTCTTCAAGGTAAGTTCTATTCTGTGGTTCATTCCAGCAGGCATTAAGCCAAATGAAAAATTAAACCAATAAAGTGATTATTGTTAGTTACCAGATAAAGAATAGGTTACACCAACAGCCATGGTCCGTCTCTGGGTTTGGACACATTTTCATCGAGGCAGTGGCCTTTACAGGTTCTGTTCTTAACTTCTGTTACATCAATCACTACACAGTGCTGAGAAAGAATTGCTTTCATTTTGTAGAGAAAGGTAGAAGGGAAGAAATGAAATCACTCTTCTTTTGCTCTATTTTCTTCCTAGGAAATCTCATTTAGTTCATTTCAGCTGTGACTCTTAAATTCTGTGACTTTAGGCAAGTTACTCAATCTATATGTTCCTCCGTTTTTTAACTATAAAGGAAGGAAATAATGTGTATGTGATAATAATAGCCTACTTCATAAGATTCTTCTGAGGAGTAATGAGCTAATGAAGGGAAAGCACTGAGGGCAGTGTCTGGCACATAGTAAGAACTCCATAAGTATCAGCTATAAAACTAACAAGAGCATTGTACTCTAGACTATAAATATTACTTGCATTTTGATCATTTTCAAATCAATGTCTTGAATTGTAGCCTGAGCTCCACATCTGGGCTTACACTTGTTACTGGATATCTCATTTACAGACATAATTATGTAGTAAATATTTTTGAGTACCTGCTGAAGGGATTCAAAGGTGCCCAATACCACCCCTCTTCCCTGAGTTCTGACTCAATTAAGGAATAAGACAAAAAAGTCAAAGGAATGACCAAAATTTCACCTTTAATACTATAAATCTGATGATAAGAAATGAGGTTTTGTATGCAAGCAAGTGAGTTGCAGTGGGTATAATCATAGGCTGGGGCAGCTTCACTCCTGCAAGGGCAGAATCTACTCCTGAAAAACTGGTGGTTTGAAGGACCAGAGCAGCTAGTGGAAGGGAAAAGGTACCAACCTACATAGGTCCACCTTCTAATAAATTTACCAACCAGATAAAAGAATTTCTCCTCCCCTGGGGAGGAATAAAAATAGGGGAGAAAGACACTAATAGATTTAGATAAGATTTATGTAATTGAGACTCTCTTTCCACAGAAAGAAAGCATCTTCCCCAATATGGGAAATGTGATAAGCATTTGACATTTCTGCCTGTGTACAGTACTTCAAACTCAGTGTATCCAACAACTTCATCTTCTCAAACACGCTGGAACTTCAGTTTTCATTTTTATTGTTTCATTACCAACTTCCTAAGCATTCTTGGTCAAAATACCAGACCATTTTGACTTGTTCTTTGCCTCGTCCTTAACATTATGTCACCAAGACCTTAGATTATTTTCTTAAAGCAACTTTGGATTCTTTTTATCCATTGCTTCTGCCCCAGTTAAAACTCTCCTAGTTTAGTTTCTCTCCAGGACTGTTGCTATAGTCTCTTTATTTCATGACTTATGTTCTATTAAAGCCATTCTTCTCCTTCAAAGCTCAACTTGAATCTGCCTCATCTACTGATCCACTGTAGTCATAATTACGAATTCTTTCCCTGAGGTACCAGATGTGCACTGTGACTAACTTCTCTTCCAGCACTTGTGCAATTTCTCTCAGTAGCTCATGAACTTAAAAGAGTGCTTTGTTTATAGTTAACACATAATATATAATCATTGAATGAATGATCTAAATAGTCCAAGAATACAGGATATAATTCTCATGACTTCATTCAATTGTTTAGAAACATGTACTTTATGCTTGACAAGAATGAATTCTATTATTTTCTTAATTTTGATCTATGTCAAGCTACCAAAGATACATTTTGTCTTAGTAATGACACTTGGGATATTTGCTCTAATGTATCAAATAATCATGTATGGAAAAAAGGATTTGTTCACTAAATAAAAGGAATGTTCCATACCTATGGCTTTTCAGTTACTTCCCTTTCTATTAGAAGACATTGGTTATACAGTTTGGAACTTTTTACTAAGATTGTAACTGAAATACTGTTGTCAACTCTTCTGAGAAAGACCCTGTGTCTTTCATCAGATACTTACTGTCTCACTGGCCTAGGTGAGGACAGCTGACTTAACACAGTCAAAATCCTTTCTAGAAATGTAGAATGAACCTGAAGTATCTCACTTCAGTCTGGTTACTCTCTTGAGTGAAAAAGATTTTTTAAACTAGGAATTCTGGCAACTACATTATGCTTTATAGACTAAGAAGCAGAGAAAGCCATTCTGAAGCAAGAGAGAATAAATAAGAAGTAAGAAATAAAGGATCCCAATGGAATTTAGTTCTTGGTTCCAGCTGTTCCAGAACCCAAACTCTCTGGATACTTTCTGTCCTTGATTCTATGAAGCATTGCAGTAACTTTTAATTAAACTGCCCTTTTAGCTTGAACTTATTTGAGTTGGTTTTCTGTTACAGTTAACTAACATAATGAGTACAGTCACCAATTTGTTCTGTACAGATTACAGAACAAATGGAAGTGTTCTTTCTTTTTCATATATATAATTTAAAATAAAAATATATGTAAGCTATTAAGAATATGACTTATTCAAGAAAATTCAGCAGATATTTTTAGGACACCAGAAAAGTGCAAGGCATTCGAATAGCCTGGCACTAGGCTTGACATGAACAACAGTTCTCCTAACAGACTCTTTCCATCACAGTTTGAATCCAGTCCAACCTCAGGCAGGATGATCTTAAAGGTCGTAATTCAGTTCATCAAGTTTCTTGGCACTACTCAAACCTAAGCTCTGTAGGTACTAAAACTCTGCAGGGACATCAGAGTCCTGGGCCTCTCCATCCTTGTCTCCTCAGCCTGGAAGGCCAGTTAACCTAGAGATTTCTAACTAACTCTGGGTTAACATTAGTGAGATCATTTGTTAGCATCATGAGGACTAGTGAGACTTAATCACACTCCATGACCTCCAATCTTTAAAGTCAAAGATTTCTCAATGGCAGGCTTTTGGAGGAGCTTTGGGATGTACACTGTCAACTCAACTATATATAAAAAATATCAAATAATAAGCGCTACTGCTTAGGCAGTCATTCCCCATCAATGAGAAGGCTTACAAGATGAACTGTGATTCTTATATTTGAACGATATGCTAGATATTGTTTTATATGTTAGTTTTCCTCTTACATAATATAGTTTCAACTGGAATAAAGATCAAAGGCTCTAGAGTTTTTTGTGTCCTGGTACATAAATATATCTGCTAAAGCAGTTACATTTTGCTTTGGATTTGATTATCTTTCCCAACAAATCTATGGGAAAATATGGAGGAACCCACCTGTCACTTTGATATCCCCTGTGGCTTTGGCAATGTCATTCTCAATCATACAGGAGTATGTGTTATTGATTGTGACATTGTAGAGCACAGACACCACCTTCATGGTCACATTCTCAGAGTTAAGCTCAAAGCTGGTATTGGAGATTTCTGAGAAGTTGGCTCCCTGGTCAACTTGTGATGCCCAGACCACTGTGGGCTGGGGGAACCATCTGGGAGCCTCACACCGCAAGCTCTCTGAACTGGCGTTATAGTCCACATTCACCTCGGGGATGCTGAAGGCTGCAGGGTCAAACATCAGAAAGGAAAGATGTCAGGCTCAGACACATAAGACAATATCACCTTTACAGTGTGAGATCTTAAAAACAAAAACAATTATTTTCACCATTGAGATGACTCAGTACTTCCCTAGAGGGCTTACTGTATATAGTCCATTGTGTTGTGAATGCACATAATGATTTGCTCATAGGACTGTTATACATCACAAACCTGTGGCCAAGAACACAGACTCCAATATCTACATTGTAGGTATGTTATTGTCCGAAGAGATGATCTTCTGAAGTAAAAAAAAAAGCTCTGATTACCACAAAAAAGTTTATCACTGAGGGAAACTGGACATTTTCCTAGAGACCTTGGAAATCTCTTAGATTTTCTGCCAGGAGAATAAAGTTAGAGTGGGGTGGGAGAAGCAGAAGAAAGAAACACATAGTACTCACTTGTCATTCACAGAAATTCCCACACAGCTCTTGTTATCACAAACATTTGGAGTTTGCCTGGGTGGAGACTGCCTGGCTCTCGCATCCTGGGATAGACAGGCATTTGCTTTCTTCCACTAAGATAACTCTCTTCACTGTGGAGATAACTGCATTCTAAAATTATGACTAAGTTTCTCCTATGTCTAGGCAGACAGACTTGTGGACCCTCAACAGTAAAATGCTTAATTATACTACAGTGACAGTTTCTTAATTAGCATCTTCTTTTGTCCAGAACTGTGCTAATGCTGATCAAGAGGTGAAAGAACAATTGGCTTAGCTTTAATGAGCCTGCATTCTAGCAGGGGAGGCAAGACTCAAGCTTGGAGCAGGCAGAGAGCAAGTTCCTGGGCAACCACGTGGGAAAGTCAGTATACATGACACTGCTTGTGGAGGTGCACCCTACGCCAGGTACCGGGTACTACCTCCCAGACTTTTTATCTGAGCCTCACACTAGTCTTGGGACTATCAAGTCTTCTCATCATTATAAAAAATAAACTTTTTCTTTTGGAGTAATTTTAGATTTACAGAAAAGTTGTAAAGATAGTACAAAGACTTCTTGTAGGCTCCTTGCCCAGTTTTCCCTAATGTTTTACATTTCAAATAAATGAGCATGGTGCATTTGGCAAAACTGGGAAACCATGTTGGTTCATTACTATTACTAAACTCCAGATTTTATTTGGACGTCACTAGTGTTTCCACTACTGGCCTTTTACCATCCATGTTACTGCATTGCATTTAGTTGTCACATCTCCTTTGACTCCTCTGGTCTGTGCTACTTTCTCAGTCTCTGTGTTTTTCATGGACCCATACACTTCTGAAGGAGCTATGGTAGTGTAGTGGTTACGAATCGGGCTGCAAACCTCAAAGTCAGCGGTTCGAAACTACCAGCTGCTCCGTGGGAGACAGATGAGGCTTTCTACTCCCGTAAAGATTTATAGCCTCGGAAACCCTGTTCAGGGTAGCTATAAGTCTGAATCGACTCCACGGCACATAACCACCACCGTACACTTCTGAAAGGATGGCTCAGGATATTTTGTAGAATGTTTCTCAATTTGCAAGAATTTTCTTTCAGTGATTAAATTGTGGTATGGACTCCTGTTATGGCACTGTAGGATCAATGCTAGATGCAAACCACAAGGTTGGCTGTTCAAACTCACCAGCTGCTCCTTGGAAACCCCGTGCAAGGTACAAGGTTGCTGTGAGTGGAAGCAGACTCCATGGCAGTAACAACAGCGGGGGTCTGGGAGAAATAACCGAAATGTGAAGTGCCCTTCTCATCACATCTTATCAGAGTACACCTGCTACCAACATGACTTAACACTGTTGTTGTTGTTGTTGTTACGTGCTATGGAGTCGGTCCGACTCATAGCGACCCTGTACAGGGTTTCCGAGGCTGTAAATGTTTATGGGAGCAGAATGCCTCATCTTTCTCCCACAGAACAGCTGGTAGTTTCGAACTGCTGACTGTGAGACTGGTAATGTTAAATTTAATCACTTGCCAAGATAGTGTTTGCCAAGTTTCTTTAACAAGTCTAGCCTACTCTTGGATGGTGGGTGGATAAGTGAATACAGCGCTCTACGAGCTCTGGTAGCGTAGTGGTTACGAATCGGGCTGTGAACCTCAAGGTACGCAGTTCGAAACTACCAGCTGTTCCGCGGGAGAAAGATGAGGCGTTCTGCTCCCATAAAGATTTACATCCTTGGAAACACTGTGCAGGGTCGCTAGGAGTCGGAACCGACACCATGGTACTTAACAACAACAACAACAACCTCTTGGTAAAGAAGATTTCATTGGGAATTCTTATATAATTATATACATTTCTTCTGTAAGGAAGATGTGTCTGTTCTGCATTTATTTTTATCAATATCCACTCAAGTATATTTACTTATACTTTGTGTTATATTTCAATATTGTATTATTTTGTTGTTCAAATTGTTCTAGTTTTGCCATTGGGAGATATTTGAGTTGGTACCTGTGTGCCTTTGAAATGACTCCGTTAATTCTCACTTTGCTGTTGTTGTTAGCTGCCATTAAGTTGCCCCTGACTTGATAGCATCCCCATGCACAATGAAATGAAATGCTGCCCGAACCATCCCCATGACTAGTGATGGACTGGATCATTGTGATCCATAGGATTTTCTTGGGTTGATTTTCAGAAGTAGATTACCAAGCCTTTATTCTTAAATCTATGTTAGTCTGAAAGCTCCACTGAAACCTGATCAGCATCAAGTGAACCCGTAAGACTGTTGACAGATGGAGAGACGTTGGCTATCTAAGCAACTGTCTAAGCCCAGGACCTACTTTAGATCTGTGCTCCAACATATTACACTATATGTGTTATGATGACTCTAAAAAGGCCTGTGTGCTTCATTCAGCTTAGTCTAGAAAGGCACAGGATACTTTCTGTCTGTCCGTTAACACTCCTCTCAAATGTACTCTCTCTCTGGAAGTTTTCTTATCTCTTCCCTCCCTGTGCATTTGGATGTGATCTTTCTCTTGCTCAGAATCTCAGAATCACTATATTTCTCTTAAGGCATGTGCTACACTTTATCATTTAGTATAGGTATTTACATACTTTCCTTATTCTTGCTTTGACCTTCAGCTCTATAAGCTCAACACTAAAAGCTCTGCAAAGGAGCAACAATTATTGTTGCTTTTAAAATCATCTTTGTATCCCTCACAATATGTAGCTAAATTCAGAAAATTTGTTTAAATGTGTTGATAAAGGAGAACAGATTTCCTTGGGGGAGAATTAATGAGCTTATAGGACAATATGTTTTGGTTGGTTCCGTTTGAGCTTCGGTTTGAGTGGGTTCGATCTACTGTCATGAATCCCTGGAAATACTGAAATAAGCCAAGTTATGAGCTTCTCTCATTAGCAGTATCAGGGACCAACATAAAAGAGACTACATTTGTTTTGACAAAATATGTCAGGAAATAGTCCAGGAGAGTCAGAAGAGGCTAGAGTCCAGGACAAAAGATGTTAAAACCTCATATTATTGTTTGTTACTGTTAGTTACTTTCGATTCTGACTCATGTGCAGATTGAAACTGTTGCATAGGGCTTTCAAGGATGTGATTTCTTGGAAGCAGATCATTAGGCCTATCTTCTAAGGTGCCTACATTCTTATTGGCTGGTAGTCAAGTGCTAGATAATTTGTGCTACTCAGGTACTTACTCCTCCTAATATTGTAGTGGGCTACTTTTTGGGCCAGTGGGATCTTGAACATAAAATGGCAAGGGTGGCTGCTAGCAGAGTTTGTTGTTGTTGTTGTTGTTAAGTGCCGTCGAGTCGGTTCCGACCCATAGTGACCCTGTACAGGGTTTCCGAGGGTGTAAATCTTTACGGGAGTAGAAAGCCTCATCTTTCTCCTGCGGAGCGGCTGGTAGTTCGAACCATTGACCTTAAGGTTCGCAGCCCGATTCGTAACCACTACGCTACCAGAGCAGAGTTTGGAGGGTCTTTTATAGATGAATATAACATGACATATCATGAGCAATTCCCACTCTTTAGCCTCAAATATCTTTTGTTGATTTCTTTTATTTTTCCTCCAACGGTAACTCACCTCCAGTTTTATACTCCAAGTTAGCATTCCCCTTGCCTTTAGAAGTGGTGATATAACATTTGTACGTGCCAGCATCTGTGAGTTGCACGTTTTTCAGTCTCAGAGAGGCATTGCCAACTATTACTTGATCCGTAAATACTGCTGTCCGTCCTCTGAACGTTTCATCCTGGTCTGACAGGTCATCTTTGCCTTCTTTGAACTCATGGACCAAGCCTATAACACCTTCCTTCAGCCACCTTATCACAACATCAGCAAGTTTGATGTCAGGTTCAAAAGTGCAGCTCAGGATTCCATCCTCCCCGAGGTTCCCAGCTGAGGTAAGAGTAGTAACTGTGATAGAGTATCTCCCTGCAATTCAGGAAACAAGGGTCAACGCCAAGGGAAGTCCGGGAACTTTTACAACCACACCCTTCATTAATAAAAGTCAAACAGACTTCTGTATTAAGTTAGAAATTTAGAAGAACAGGAAAGGCATTAAAAAAAAAAGAGCAAAGAAGAACAGAAATAGCAGGAAGACAACAATTTTAATATCTCCAACATATTGGCCATATACAATGCCTTTTGTGAGACCAAGCAACCCAAACCTTGACATATAGCAAGAGGAGAAACACATTGAACTTTGGAGCTGAAGATGAGAGCTCAAGTATTTGGCTTTATCACGTAACAGTTGTTGACCTTGAATAAGTCATGTGACTTCTCGGGATCTCAGAAAAATTGAGGTCATAGTATCTGCCCTGTCTATCCTGGGGGGTTCTTGTGAGGATCAAGCCAAATGGATGTGAACTTGATTTGCAAACTGTAATTATACATATGGTGATGGTGTGACTTTGAGTTGGTTCCCATTCATAGCGACCCTGTATAAGGTTTCTGAGGCTATAAATCTTTATACAAAACAAACTTTCATCTCTCTCCCATAGAGTTGCTGGTGGATTCAAACTGCTGATCTTACTATTAGCAAACCTATTATGTCACCCACTCTGCCAATGTTGTTGTTGTTAAGTGCCTTTGAATTAGTTCTGACTCATAGCAACCCTGTAGAGGGTTTCTGAGCAGTGGCTGGTGAGTTTAAACTGTCGACCTTACAGTTCAAACCGACCTTGCAGTCCAGTGCATTGACATGCAGCGCCACACCAGGACTCCACTATGCCAGTTGGGCTCCTGAATGATACATGTAAGCTATTACTATTTTTAGTTAACCAAAAGTGGTTAATTAAAACCTTATGTTAACTACATGTGCTAGTAATGTGAAGTCCTGTTTTAAAGTGTTATTACTTTTATTGTCCTTTGAATGATGAAGAACTGAAGACATTGAAAAGATTAGTGACTTAGTCAAGGATATAGTGCTAATTATGACATAATGAGGACTGGTCCTTAATACAAGTTCTGGCCTAGGTTAAAAATCACTCCCTCCTCCCCTCCAATATACCCCCAGTAGAATTACTAATTATGGCACTAGCCTTATGCAATTGCTCAAACCACAACCCTTCACTTAAGGTAGAAGTGATCAGCTGTTCTTTGTACAGAAAAAGCTGCTGACTGAAGACACTTACGTTGTTGGGTGCCATCAAGTCAATTTTCAACTCACAGTAACCCATGTGAGAGAACAGAGCTATAAGTTTTTCTTGGCTATAATCTTTGCAGAAGTAGATCATCAGATCTTTCTTTTGTGGAGTGGCTGAATTGATTTGAACTACTAACCTTTCATTTAGCAGCCTGCCATAACTGTTGTGCCACCAAGGTTCCTTGAACTCAGCTATGTTGTTGTTGTTAAGTGCCATAGAGTTGGTTCTGACTCGTACTGACGCTGTGCACAACAGAGCAAAGCACTAAGATGCGCCTGATCCAAGCCATGTATTGAAAGTACCAAGTCAGTAAGCACCATAACTCAAATGCTTCACTTCATCTACGGTCTTCTGTATTCGTTGTCAAACATTCACATATGAGGCTATTGAAAATACCATGGCTTGGATCAGGCGCACCTTAGTGCTCAAACTGTTCTTTGCTCTCGAGCACTTTAAAGAGGTCTTGTGCAACAGATTTGCTTAATGCAACACATCATTTGAATTCTGGACTGCTGCTTCGATAAGTGTTGATTGTGTATCCAAACAAAATGAAGTCTTTGATAACTTAAGTCTTTTCTCCATTTATCATGATGTTATTCATTGGTCCAGTGGTGAAGATTTTTGTTTTATTCACATTGGTGTGCAATTCATATTTGATGCAATGTTATCCATAGCTTTTTATGATCCTCACAGTCAAAAGCCTTTGCATAGTCAGTAAAGAACTAGTAAACATCTTTCTGCTTTCAGCCAAGATCCATCTGATGCCAGCAGTGAAATTTAAAATTCCCTGCCCTCTTCTGAGTCCAGCTTGAATTTCTGTCAGTTCTTTGCCAATGTACTGTTGCAGCCATTTTTAAATTTCCTTTAGCAAAATTTTACTTGCATGTGATAGTAATGATAATGTTCCATGATTACCACATTCCATTGGGTAATGGGCACAGATATAGATCTCTTACAATAAGTTGGTCAAGTAGCTGCCTTCCAAATTTCTTGGCATAGATTGAGCAACTCATCAGTTTATTGAAAGATTTCAATTTATATTCTGGCAATTCCTGGAGGCTTAAAAAAAATTGTTGTTTTTTTCCCCCAATGCTTTCAGTGCAGTTTGGACATCTTCTTTGTTGTTGTTGTTGTTGTTGTTGTTGTTGCTATTAGGTGCCATAGAGTCGGTACCAACTCATAGTGACCCTATGCACAACAGAACAAAACACTGCCCAGTCCTGGGTCAACCTCACAATTGTTGCCATGCTTGAGCCCATTTTGCCAATCCATCTCATTTGGGTCTTCCTCTTTTTCTCTGACCCTCCACCTTACCAAACATGATATCCTTCTCCAGCGACTGGTCCCTCCTGACAATATGTCTGAAGTAAGAGAGACAAAGTTTGGTCATCTTGGCCTCCAAGGAGCACTCTGCCTGCACTTCTTCCAACACAGATCTGTTGGTTCTTTTGGCAGCCCATGGCACTTTTCAATATTCTCCTCCAACACCATAACTCAAAAGCATCAATTCTTCTACGGTCTTCCTTAGTCACTGTTCAGCTTTCGCATGCATATGAGTTTGTTGAAAATCCCATGACTTGGGTCAGGAACATCTTAATCCTCAAACTGACATCTTTGCGCTTCAACACTTCAAAAAGGTCTTGTGCAGCAGATTTCCCTAACGCAGTACGTCGTTTGATTTCTTGACTGCTGCTTTCATGAGTGTTCATAGTTGATCCAAGAAGAATGAAGTCCTTGACAACTTCAGTCTTTTCTCTGTTGATAAGAATGTTGTTTATTGGTCCAGTGGTGAGGACTTTTGTTTTCTTTATATTGAGATGTAATCCATACTGAAGGCTGTGCTCTTTGATCTTCATCAGTAAATATTTTAAGTCCTCTTCACTTTCAGCAAGAAAGGTTGTAACATCTGCATATTGCAGGTTGTTTATGAGTTTTCCTGCCACGCTGATGCCACGTTTTTCTTCATATAACCTGACTTCTTGGATTATTTGCTCAGCATCCATCAACTCTTAATCTTATACTACCTCTTGAAGTGGTTGAACATTGACCATTTCTTTTTGGTACAGTGACTCTGTGTATACCTTATATCTTCTTTTATGCTTTCTGTATCATTCAATATTGTTTTCCACAGAATCCTTCAATATTTCAAGTTGAGGCTTGAATTTTTTTCTTTAGTTCTTTCAGCTTGAAAAATGCTGATTGTGTTCTTCACTTTTGGTTTTCTAACTCCAGGTTTATGCACATTTCACTATAATACATACCTTTGCCTTCTGCTGTTGTCCTTAGAAATTTTCTGTTCAGCGCTTTGACTTCCTCATTTATTCCATTCATTTTAGCATTTCTATGATGGAAAGCAAATTTCAGCATCTCTTCTAACATCTCTTTTGGTCTTTTCTTTCTTTCCTGTCTTTTGAATGACCTTTGGCTTTCTTTCTATATGATGTTCTTGATATTATCCCACAACTCTTCTGGTCTCCAGTCATTAGTAGCTAATGTATCAAATATGTTGTTGAGATGTTCTCTAAATTCAGGTAAGATGTGTTCAAGGTCATAATTTGGCTCTTGTGGACTTGTTTTAATTTTCTTCAACTTCAGACTTAATTTGCATAGGAGCAATTGATGGTCTGTTCCATAGTCTGCCCCTGGCCTAGTTTGGCTTTTCTACCATCTCTTCCCAAAGATATAGTCAATTTGATTTCTGTGTATTCCATTGTTTGAGGTTCATGTGCATAGTTGTCTTTTAGGCTGTTTAAAAAAGGTATTTGCAATGAAGATGTCATTGGTCTTGCAAAACATTGTCATGCAATCTCCAGCATCCTTTCTATCACCAATGCCCGATTTTCTAACCGCTGATCCTTCCTCCTTGTTTCCAACCTTTGCATTCTAATCACCAGTGATTATCAATGCATCTTGATTGCATGTTTGATCAATTTGAGACTGAAGAAGTTGGTAAAGTTCTTCTATTTCATCCTCACTGGCTTTAGTGGTTGTTGCATAAATTTGAATAATAGTGGTATTAACTGGGCCTCCCTGTAGGCGCATGGATATTATCCTATCACAGACAGCATTGTACCTGACTGTACCAATGAGGACTCTCCCCCAAATGGAGGGATTTCACAAATGTATCTAAGCTTGAGAAAGTGGCAGCATCAAAGGGCCTTGATGGCACCTAACAACAAACAACAACAAATCTAAACTTAACTGACGTATCTGAGATCTTGGGGGTTGGGGGACATGGGTCTAGTCAGGCTCCATATGATGGTATATATATATTTCATCCTCACTGGCTTTAATGGTTTGGTGCACACATTGAATAAAGTAGTGTTAACTGGTCTTCTTGAAGGCGTATAAGTATTATCCTGTCACAGATAATGTAGTTCATGATAGTTCTTGAGATGTTCTTTGTGAGGATGAATATTACATCATTCCTCTTGAATTTGTCATCATGGCTAAGTGTACTCTCAAGTGGCAGCTCTTACCCATACGTGTTTTAAGTTTCTTCCAACCTGATGGGCTCATTTCTGGCACAATATCTGACAGTGTACTGCTGCTATGCATAAGATAGTCAGTGACTAAACATGCAGATGTAGTCTGCCTGTCTTTCTTAGTCTGTCTTGGTCTGGAAGCTGTGCTGAAATATGTCCACAGTGGGTGACCCTGCTGGTATGTAAAATAATGGTGGCATAGCTTCCAGCATCACAGCAACACACAAGTTACCACAGTACGATAAACAGACAGACAGTGGTGGTGAGAATGGCAATGTTGTTGTTGTTAAGTGCCGTCAAG